GGTATAGGAGTTGTATAAGGAGATTGACGGAACTATGGTAGGCGTGTGTGTTATTTTATACTTAAACCTATTTTATTAGACGAAAAGAAAAGTATCAAAATGAAAATATATACACTATTTACAAAAATATACATTATTTACAAGTGGCGGGACTCGTCCCGTCACATTCCCCTCTTTCTTTTTAGGGGTTCACCCGGCGGGCGAATCGGGCCATTGTGAGCTGGCCCGTTCGGTCCCAGCGCAGGACCCAATGGCCTCCCTCGGTTAACAGGCGGAACCGCCGCTGTTCCCGGATGGCTCGTGTCGGCACCTCCAGGACTGCCCCTGGTACTGCCACCCGGGTGGTGGCCCTATGGCTGCGGTTGCTGGCCTCGGTGGTGGTTGCGGCGGTCTCACCGGTCGGTAGCTGGGATGGCCGCGGTGGTGTTGGCCTGGTGGGTGCCAGCGCTCTCCTGGCTGTCCCGGAACCTGTGGTGGCTGGTTGGTGGCTGGGCCGGGCGGGGCCGGTGGAGACCTTTTCCGTCGCCTCCTCGAGGTGGAGCGTGCGGGAGGCGCGGGGTTTGGCCTGGCTGTCGTTCACTTTGGCCGGTGTTGGTGGCCCGGCGGTCCGCAAGGTACGACCGATGGCGGAGCTGGCGGGCGGCGGTGTTATTAATACCGCCCGTCTGGCCGGAGGCGTTATTGGCTTGTGCGGTCGGGTCGGTCGGCGGACGGTCGGGTCTCCCCCTAGGCGGCTTGCCGCTCTGTTCCGAACGGCGGCTCGGACATCGTCCGGTGTAAGCTGGGTGGCTGGTGGTCTGCTAGGCGGTGGCGTGCGCGGCGTTTGGGCGCACTGAGCTCCTCGAATCTAGCTCCTAGCTCGATGTCGCTGGCGATGTCTCGAATGATGTCGTCGTTACTCGACATTGTCGCTTCGAAGGTTTGCCTGGTACTGACTCTGACTCGCGTTACTCTGCCTCGTCGGCTCGGTTTGCGTCTGGAGTGGGGTTGTTTAAATTCCTTTTTTGCATGTTTTCTCCAAATTCCTTCAGTTGACTCACGTGAATGTGTCGTGCGTATTTACCGTTTTCACCGCGAAGGTCTACGATTACCGGCGAGACTATGCGCGTAACTGTGAACGGTCCCTTATATTTCGGTGATAATTTGGCGGCAATATACTGGGCTTTGTCCGAGAGTTCGTGAGTTTTGATGTTAACCTTTTCCCCGATTTTTGGTCTCCATGCTCGTCGCCGCAGGTCGTACTGTGACGCTTGCTTTTGAAATGCCCGGGCGGTGTTTATTCGGGCCAGTTCGCGTGCGGCTTCTAGTTGCTCGAGCCGTTTTGAGAAATTGGGAGGACGATTTATTCCGCCAGTATGGGGGGATCCCGGGGCCCTCAGCTCTTGGCCATAATTAAGGAAAGCGGGNGTATACCCGGTTGATTCGTGGTGTGCGGTATTGACGGCAAATTGCAACTCAGGCAGCATTTTATCCCATGCTCGTTGGTTCCGGCCGGTAAATTGTGCGATCATGGTTTTGATTACGCGGTTTTGTCGTTCCTCGGGGTTGCATTGGGGCGTATATGGCGGAGTTAGTCGGTGTTTTGTGGCGACTTCTCGTAACATTGAACGGAATTCGGTGCTGATGAATTGCCGTCCATTGTCCGAAATGAGTGTCTCGGGGGCGCCGTGTCGAAGGACTACCCCTTCGTATATTCCGCGTGTTACCGCTGTAGCGGTGGCTTTCCGTAGTGGC